CAAAATTTACTTTATTTTCAAGATGAATACCAAATTTGATGCGACAGAAAGGTGACAAATTGAATGCTTTTTCCAGAAATACCGTTATTTTTGAGAAAAAAAAATTAGAATTGTGTAAATTATAATAAATAGCGCAAAATGTTTTTTTAAACATTACAATAAGTACTTTTGGTAATCAAAAGAGGACTAAGACTAAAAGGATTTAAATTTTCACGTAGCTGCAGTATCTATGATTAGTAAAATGTTAACCTTTCTAAAAGCCTGCGACTTCTAATCAGCACTTTACGTAAGAAAAATACAAAAGATTTTAGAAGTAAAACAGAAGGCACTAACTTTTTGTCACTTCTATTCCATTCCATTTTGCTGCCACTGCTTTTCTCGTTACTGTCCAGTTTTCTTAGTAAAGGCACTAAAACTCTATCTTTTTCTAACCGACGATGCTTTTTTAATTTCGCTGGCAAATTTTAGACTAAGAAATAAAACAGTAATAACAGTATAATGCTGCCGTTCAATAACACCAATTCGTTCTTTGCGGGACATATAAAACCTTGAAACTGTAGTATTAAAAAAAGTGTGGGACAGTCTACAGGTCTGACAAACAATTTATGCAAGCTTACTAACAAATAGCAAGAAATTTGAGGCAGTAAGAGCAGCTGCGTCACAACAAAATCAATCATAAGTTTTCTAGAAACTGAATGATATAGTATAGCTATATTCTTCTTTTTTACTTCACAATTCACTTTGAATATTTTAAACATACATATTCTTTGCAATTCAAAATAAAAATGAAAAAGCTTCCTTTTCCTCACTCAATTCCGCCAGATAAACTGCTTTAATTTATTACTCTCAACAGCGAAAAACAATTTCTAAGCGCATTTACAACTTCTTGTGCATTTTAGATGCAAAAACATTCAAAAAAATTTTTTTTCTTTTGTATGCTTCAAATCTTCAAAAATTCAATAGTAAAGAGAAAGAAAAGGAGAGAGAAGTAAAGGAAAGAAAAGAGTGAATAAACGAATAAATGAATAAGTGAATGAATAAATGAATGAATAAATAAATAAATAAGTGAACGAATGAATGAATAAATGAGTGAATGGGTGAATGAATAAGTGAATAAATAAATGAATAAATGAACGAATGAATAAATAAGTGAATAAATAAATGAATGAGTGAATAAATGAATGAATGAATGAATGAATGAATGAATGAATGCATGAATGAATGAATGGATAAATGAATGAATAAATAAATAAACGAATGAATGAATGAAAAGGGAGAAGATGAGGCATACGATGACATACCGTGCAATAAAGGGAAAGGATGAGGGAGGTAAAAAGTAGAAAAGTAGTTTGGAAGAGAAGAAGGTTAAAATTGCGAATATTTGATAAGATTTTAATATACTAATGATATTCGAAATGTTTTTCTCAATTTGGAAAAAACACTGAGCTAATGACGTCAGTAAAGTAACAAAATATTTATAGACGACTGTTTCAAAGTAACTAACTTAGTGATGTAGAGACAAGCAAACACAGAATTAAAGTACGGTGAACGAGCACTAAGAGGCCATTGCGTGAAAAACCAATAAAACGCTCGCTAATACCAATTCATCCAGCCAATCTGCGTGACACTCCGTAATTCAATGTTTACTGCACCATACGGTAATTGCGTAAGCCAACGACTGGTGCAGCAGATAGCTGCAGCCAAAATACGTGCGACACTATCGTTGCTTGGGGCATAATGACATTAAACTGTCACGCCATTATTCACGGCTTCACTATTACCACTGATTTACTTGTTTTGTTTTGCATAGTAAATAAGAAAAAAAAACACAGTTCCTTGATAACCAATATTTTCAAAAACTTCTTTGAAACAGAAATAAAGAACAAGAGATGCGTGCATTTACAAGGGAATACTTTAATCTTATTACAACTAAATCAACTAATATTGCTATAAGTGCGAGATGCAGCACATTATTATTATTATTATTACTATTATTATTATTATT